GTAAGTACCGGTCTTTTATACCGTAAGTATTAGACGCGATTGGATAGATGAGAAGGTAATAAGTGACGTAACAATTGAGTCTTCCTGGCGGAACTTACGCTACGCTTTCATTTCTTGGAAAGTGGATTCTGTTCAATAAAATATATCTCCCATTGGAGTGGACTTTGAGCTTTGTAAACTTGTAGATCTGTTTTATGCTTAAACAGCAACATTACACGCTAACTTAAGTTGAAAAAGTGGAAAAGCATAATAGGACCCCTTTAATAGGGGGGTGGTGATGGCGCAGTGGATAAGACACATGCCTTTGGTGTGAGAGACCTGGGTTCGAATCCACTGTGAGACACCAATGTGTCCCTGAGCAAGACACTTAACCCCTAGTTGCTCCAGAGGCGTGCGATTTCTGACATATATAGCAATTGTAAGTCGCTTTGGATAAAAGCGTCAACTAAATGAATAAATGTAAATGTAATACAGGTTATGCGAATTCAAACGAATAGAGCATCAGTCCTGTTTATTTCTCTAGCATATCATGTGTAAAACCTGTTGTCCCAAAAATATGCACACAACTGAATGTTTAGAGTGTTATGCGATTAGACTTGGGTTGGGGCAAACTCATCACATTCAGCTTGTGAATTCCTGGCCACAATTAAGGAAATTGTGGCAGGTCTGTAATCCTGCGGTGAGAGTTGAAAGAAGCTTTGGGTCGTTCCACGGGGCGGGCCATTAGAGGATGATGGGAGGACAGGTTTGGGCAGGGAGGGAACAGCTCGTCTGCTGCAAAATTTGATTACAATGAGTATGTGTGCGCATATTTGTATGATGGGATTTAGATCGCATTCAAGGACTAACTCAATTTTTGCAAAACTCCAAAAACATACCAGTACATACAATTCACTGCAGTTTCCAGCTGAAATAAACAGTAGAGGCAGTAAAACTTTTATTCCTTTTCACAAATTATTGATTATCTCCTTCCACAATATGTGTTTTGACCGCCGAACACTTTTACCATAGTGCTTGATTTGTATACTAATACATTTTGACATTTGCATCACATAAACAGCTCAATATGTAAGTAATTTCTGTCATAGTAAACTTGTTCAGTAGCTCATCTGGTACAGAACTGTGTGCGACACGATAAAAGAGCTCAAAGACTTGTAGAATCAAGCCAATGGCATGGTTGCTTTAGAAAATGCGTTTTTATCTCACATTTGCTTTTGCATGAACCTTTTAGCACCACTCACCAAATACAATACGCACAACAACTTCACGTTCATCTCTTTCGGATAAAACTGAAACATGCTTTCAGCGCCACTTACTGGACATTTCAATTTGAAAAAGTGTTGTGAAATGTGCACGAAGCAACGAAATATCATTTTGCTGAAATATCGCCTCAGGCATGCTTTTCCAATGAGCCTGGGTGGCAGAAACTATGTACATGGCAATGCACATTTGCTGTAATGAGACTTTTGTCATTGAGAAATATTGTAGTTGATTTCCATCTAAATAGAGTCATTCTTCATAGGTCAAACCTTTTTTCTTTTTTTTTTGTCTTTAAATGACGCATTTAAGGTGCTGAAAGTGCAGGTTGAACCATAAAGAAAGCTTTTTTTCTGTGGTAATTCAGGGAAAATGCACATTGCATTGCGACACATTGCACACTTGCCATTTCCTCTGTGCAGAGAAATGCTCTGCTACACGCACTTAGATTAAAGTGTGTGTGCACGTATATGTTGCGTTTGTGCGTTCATCAACGCTGCCATGGTGAGAGGTGGGAACAACAGAGACGTATGAATTGTTGCTAGAGAAACCTTCCCATGGGGAAGCACTAAACAACACACTCCTCTAAATACTTGCCCTGTTTAAAGACTCGTCCGAAGCCTAATTCTATCTGTCGGGTTTCTACGCCTCCATTTATTTCAGGAGCCTACTCTCCCCGCTTTCTTTCCTTTCGTCGTTTGGCTGCAGATTTTGCAGGCTTCTCAGCCGCTCTCTCTGGATCCGGCGGAATATTTAGGAAATGTGCTGACAGCAGCATCAGACGGAGGAGAGAGGGAGGGAGGGAGGAAGGGAGGGAGGGGTGAATTTTTGGGATGGTAGAAGGATGCAATAATATCTTTGAGAACAGCGTTTATCTCACACCGAGGCTTGTTTTATAAACCAGGCACACACATGCACGCAATTCACACCCACCATCATAAAAATGGTGGCTTTTGGGTTTCCATGACCTGCTTTCCTTAGTCGGTCTTTTGTCATATCCCGCTCTCTCTTTCTCAGTCTAATCCTAAGCTTTGGCCACATTTCTCCTCTGGCTGCATGTGTGTTGTTTTGTGTGTGTGTTCAGAGGGGAAAGCTCAGGCCATCTTGAAAAATTGATATTTGATCCCATGTGTAAAGGAGAGGAATGAGTCCAGCTAGCTTCACTCCAAACATCATCACTGCTCTCTTTAGTGCTGATGTATGTGCTCAACAAACGACACGATGATGGATTTATTCATATGCCAGGCTGGCATTTTTTATGACACGATGACAAATGTCAGGACCAGGTGCTGTTTTATAGAAAAATAGTGAAAATATTTTAGTAGTTCATCATCTTGATGTTTTTGTTTTTGTTTTTTGAGAGACTAAAAAGAACAGTATTTATTTGAAATAGAAATCTTTTGTAACATGTACTTTCACTTTTAATCAATTTAATGTGTCCTTGCTGAATAAAAGTGTTAATTTCTTTCAACTAGCCCCAAACTTTTGAACGGTATAGTGTATATAGCCTATTATGATTCACTGTGATTTTGTCACATAACCCAGCAGTTGTCAAACTGCTTGTTGCTATAGAAGCTTGTTGCATTGCATCTGATAATATCACACTACTTATAAACCATATAACTGAATGTTCATGTACCATGGTATTTACATGGCACTTCAAAGAATACCATACCATAGTAGCTACTACACATTCAAAAAACATAGTATTTACATAGTAAGTGAACTCTCTTTACTCATGTTGCATTAAATCATCATAGGAAGCTGGACGAGAGCATCATATATAATACAGAGTGACTTTATGTATTTATCTTCATGATGACTGAGACGTTAAAGCTTTGCAATGGTTAGCTTAGCTTTGCCTGTATGCCTCAGCAACTAATATTAAACTTCAGATTTAATCCCCGGCATTACTGTACACAGAGACAGATTAAACGGCAGCCATGTCTGTCACTGATGTATCCAAGCAATACGAAGTAGTGCAAGTGATTTGAAACACATTTAGCCAGCGTTAAAAGCAACTGGCAGAGATAGGCTACTTTTTAAAAAAACTTTAATTTGAGTCAGAAAGTTGCTGAATGGAAAAAAAAAAAAAACGTTTTTCAGTTTTCTTCTTGCTTTAGAGTATATTGGTCATAGTAGGAGCATGTGAGCTGCATGGGGTAAATATATATATATAAATAAAACCACTGAATAATTAATACTTGCTCCAAACCATAAACTTCCAAAGCTACACAAACAGCACTTTCACACAATTACTCTGTTTATACGTTAAATGTTTCCTTGTTATTTACTAATGTTTAAACTAATGTTTATTAATGTAAATATTCACTTAAAGTGCATCTATTATGCTTCTTTGTATATTACCTTTCATGTAGTGTGTAATATGGCTGTTTGTGACACAACAGACTGGGCCATCTGACCAATCAGAGCAGAGTAGACCAATCACAACAGACTGGGTCATCTGACCAATCAGAGCAGAGTAGACCAATCACAACAGACTGGGCCATCTGACCAATCAGAGCAGAGTAGACCAATCACAACAGACTGGGCCATCTGACCAATCAGAGCAGAGTAGACCAATCACAACAGACTGGGCCATCTGACCAATTAGAGCAGAGTAGACCAATCACAACAGACTGGGCCATCTGACCAATCAGAGCAGAGTAGACCAATCAAAACAGACTGGGCCATCTGACCAATCAGAGCAGAGTAGACCAATCACAACAGACTGGGCCATCTGACCAATTAGAGCAGAGTAGACCAATCACAACAGACTGGGCCATCTGACCAATTAGAGCAGATTAGACCAATCAAAACAGACTGGGCCATCTGACCAATTAGAGCAGATTAGACCAATCACAACATACTGGGCCATCTGACCAATTAGAGCAGATTAGACCAATCACAACAGACTGGGCCACCTGACCAATCAGAGCAGAGTAGACCAATCACAACAGACTGGGCCATCTGACCAATCAGAGCAGAGTAGACCAATCACAACAGACTGGGCCATCTGACCAATTAGAGCAGATTAGACCAATCACAACAGACTGGGCCACCTGACCAATCAGAGCAGAGTAGACCAATCACAACAGACTGGGCCATCTGACCAATTAGAGCAGAGTAGACCAATCACAACAGACTGGGCCATCTGACCAATTAGAGCAGATTAGACCAATCACAACAGACTGGGCCACCTGACCAATCAGAGCAGAGTAGACCAATCACAACAGACTGGGCCATCTGACCAATCAGAGCAGAGTAGACCAATCACAACAGACTGGGCCATCTGACCAATCAGAGCAGAGTAGACCAATCACAACAGACTGGGTCATCTGACCAATCAGAGCAGAGTAGACCAATCACAACAGACTGGGCCAGCTGACCAATCAGAGCAGTGTAAGCTCTCAGAAAGGTGGGGACATTGAACAAACTGTTTCAGACACTGTGAGGAAAGAGGTGATGCTGCAGTGCATTATAGGAGAAAATTAAAGTGTTTTGACCTAGTAAACTTGTTGTTGGAAACCTTAAAAAAAAACGTAGGAACCTTTAAAATAGCATAATAGGGGCACTTTAACAGTTTCACATTATGTGGGTCACCTTTATCAGGCAATGAGTTGCCAGTCCATCGGCAAAATGTCAAAAAATACGCTTTACTATAAAATATTGATATTAAACATCTTGACATGCCTTGACCTTGTTTAAAAGTCTTTTTTTCTGTTATCTCTTTCTGTCTGCAGGTGCCCTGGACGAGCCGTACGGCAGGACCTGTGTGTGTGTGTGTGTGTCTGCAGCTCAGTGGAATGTTTTCAGATCTCCCCAAGGTGCTGATACTGGGGGCCATCGCAGCGGCCTCTGCCTTCGTGGTCACCATCCTTATCGTCTTGGTGTGTGTGGGGTGTCAGAGGTGAGTAAATGCTCACACACAGACTGCAAACACCTTTTACCTATAATTCTAGGGTGGAGAACCAGTCGTTCATCACATTCCATATTGTAAAGGGGTCATGAACTGCATTGTTTTATTGTTTTATAATGGAGTGGACTTATAATGTTAGTATGATTGTTTACATCAAAAATTGTCAAAATATAGAAATAAAAGGCAGTTTTCCTACCCTGATTTTATCCCTCTGGTTTGAACGCTCTGTTTGAAGGGGCGTGTCTGCTGTGAGACTTCAGTGTAAACGCCCACTGCTGTGATTGGCTGACATCTTCGCATATGAATGTGTAACTCTCTCAAAAACTTTTAGCATGTTTTTACTATTACAGCTCTCAAGGTTAACTAATCGTCAAAAGTATTGATTATAGCATTTATATCTATGGAATTATATTTATATTGTGTTATGAAAGGCTGCAGTGATGATCATTGTAGAGAATCACAGACATGTTGAGCACATGAATGCAGTGATCTCATCTTTGCAACTCGATTTCTGCGCACTAACGAATGATTTCATCATAACTAACAGTGCAAACACAATGTAAATAAGAGATTCGTTGATTATAACACGAGTTTTGGCGAGAATCCAGAACTCGGACTCTGATAAACTCTCGCTATTTGATTGACAGCTCCAGCGATTGTAAAGGGAGCGTTCTTTGATCGCTTTCTATAATAGAATCAGCTTCAATAACATATTATTTTCATCCTACGAAGAGAAACAATGTAAAGTCACTGATTTGATTTACTGACACATTTCATGTTTGCTGATGTTTACATCTTTCCACTTGTAAATTTCAACTTTCCACTTCAAAGAAGGCGGAGCCTCAGAGTCACACCTACCTAGTACACATCGCCACGGACCAATGGCAGTTCAAAGATGTTTACCAGCTTTTCCAGAAAGTTTGCTTTAGCAGGTTGTTGCGAACTTCCAAAACACACTTTGGCCTGATTTCATTCGAAATGACATTCTTCGATTATGCTTCATTCAGGGCTGCATCCAAATGATGTGTAAACGCACCTTATGCAAGACTTTAAATCGGATTTGTTGTATCTTTTCTGTTACAATCTGAAATATCTCATCATGTGGCAACTGCTGAGTAGGAGCAATAAGAACTGAATTTCTTATTTCCACATGTTCTTCCTCAAAAGTACTGAAGAACCATTAATTGAAGAATCGTTAAGGAACTGGAATTGTTAAGAGCAATCAGAAACCAAACCAGGATCCTTATGATTCCCATCCATAATGCTTCATTCCTGAGCTGTTTGTTCGTTTGCACATAAAAGTGTTTCTGCACAGACGCACCCCACTCATATGTCAGAAGAATGCGTCGGCTTCTTAAAAACTCTCCCCCACTCTTGTGTCAGGGCACATCCTCCTCTTTTTCTTTAGTTCTATCTCTCTTACTGTCTCTATCTCTCCTTTCCTGCTGTGGAGCGACTTGATGAATGCTAATATCACTCCTTCAGCAGATTGCGTGCCCTCTGTAGGAGCCGTTTCGCTGGGAAGTTAAGCTCTGCGTCGGATGCTCGTTTGTGACAAAGACTTTTGCTTCGAGATATTACAAGGAACGAAACCCTCCAACAAATCAGTTTCACATACTCTCAGGCATTGTTCTATTTCGGTTTTGCATAACGTTTCACAGAAATGAAGAATGGGGACTAGACTCTTTTGTTGCATTTTCACCACAAAGTCATGTTTTTGCTTCACTGCAAAACAACTCGCTCTGAATTGTTAGAGCATGGGAATACAAGCTAACTGTACAGAAGCCAAGTGTGTTTGTTTTAGTGTCATTCCAACGGTAAAAATAGAGGTACACTAAATACGGCTGAAAATTTGTGCTGGCATTGCAGCAAAGTCAACAGATGCGTAATGGAAAACACACACTGAGCTCGTTGTTCTGAGATACACAAATTATGATTGAGTAAAACCCCTTTCTAAGTATTGAAATGTTCCATCTCATTTCCATCGCAGAGTTCAAGGGATAGTTCACCTAAAAATCTTTTCCTCATTTACTCTCCCTCATGTTGTTACTTTCTTCTTAGAAAGTATTCTTATTAGATTCTGTGGAACACAAAAGGAGATATTTTGAATAATGTTCAAGCTGCTCTTTTCTATACAATGAAAGCATATAGTGGCCATAAAATATAAAGTACCATAAAATATACTACTCATACACTACATTCTGCAGCTCTTAAATATAATCTCACCAGGTTTGGTGTCAAAGACGCCAAACGCCATTCATGCATGTTTTTATCCAATGCCAGGTTGGAAATGGAGGGGAAGATTATTTTTTAAGCAAGTAATTATTTAAATTTAGCAAAAACATATGTAAAAATGACCTTTTGTTCACATCACATGACCTCAGAACAGTGTTTTTTTTATTGTTAACTTAAAACTATTAAAAAATATTTTGGGGTAAATAAATCTAAATTAAAATAAAATATAAATATTAGATTAACATAAAAAAAAAACTTAAAAGAAGAATAAACATGTTGGAAACTTAATGAAATAAGTTAAAGTACTAAAATTACTAAACCTAAAACTAAAATAAAAATTAGTTAAAGGTTGTAATTCAGTTCATATAATGTGGGAGGTTCAAAACAGAAAAAAAACGAATGAAATGACAAGCACATAAGAAACAAATTTACGAAAACGAAAATGAAAACTGAAAATATAAAATCAAAGCTAATTCAATATATTAATAAACACTTCTTGTGAAGACTTGACTGCACCAGACATATGGACTTTATATGGTAAATTCATCATTATCTATTCAACGTGGAATAATAAAATATGTTAATACAAATATACTTCATCTCACTTAATTAAACAATGTCTTTGAAAAGTAAAGCAAAAGTAACATAACTCATTACCCTCCATAAAAACTAAGTAATGCAATTAGTTACTTTTTTAGGGAGTAACACAATATTGTAACACATTACTTTTACAAGGAACTTTCCCCAACACTGATTGTAGGTTCTTCGATTATTTTTCTTTTTCGCTTTTTTTGTGTTGAGTCAAAATTAATTTTGTGAAAATCAACATTGTGCCTTTAAATTGAGCTTAACTTGTACAGAACCTGGAATATTCCTTTAAAACACGGCTATGCTAATGCGGTATCCATGATTGCAAACGCAGAGTGCAGCTGTGATTTTGCTGCGTGCGGCTTTGCAGTGTGTACATTCTGCAAGTCATGTGTGTGTAGACACTGGGTCACTAAAACCGAGGTGCAAACGTGTCCCTCCGGCCTCCTGAGTTCTGACCTTCACAGGGAAATGGAGCGATACAGCCCTCGCAACTACAAACAAACAGCAAACACTGTCATTACGGCTGTGACTTCTCAGTTCTATGAGGCATATGCATTACGCTATTTTAATTTTTTAATGTCTTATCTATTCATCCATAAACGCCTTCTTCCTTCCCATAGTTTAAGGGTGTAAAACAGAGAGAAAAGAGAAAATCCTCTGTTTCACAGATTTGCGTAAGTGTGAGGGATGTGGGTAGCAGTGGATGTTAAAAATGGGGTGAGACTGAGAAGAACCAAAAGGTGTGTGAAAAAAAATGTGTGTATTTCGCAGGCTGTTGGATTGGTGGAGTGAGAGAAGCTATAATTGATGTCACACCTGGTGTGTGTAGGGAATGAGAGGAGAAGAAAAGCAAGGGAGGAGGGATCGTCAGGGTTACCTATCCATCCTTCTCGCTCTCTCTTCCTCCACCACACCTGCATCACATCTAGTCCCTCATGATTACATCATCCCAGCCCTGCCAACCCCACTGAGAGCCATTACAAACACTCGCTGTAGTGGAATTTTACTTCCTGGCATATTCAAGAGTGCACAATAGCTCTGTTACAAAAGCCAGCGAGCTGCATGTCTATTCTACTAAAGAAGCAGCTTTCTAGAGGCCAATGCACACTTGACTCGACGACAGACGCCGACCAATGCAACCAATCACCATGTACATCACTTTCCAGACCAGCAACGTTTGCCTAGCTAGCAAAAATATGTTTTAAGAATGTTTTGCTAACGTTCCCATTAAGTTATGAAAACGTTATTTCTGAATGTTTCATTATTTTCTATTATTCATCTATTAAAGTTTAAAAAAAAATGTTTATAGTAAAAATGAATGGAAAAAACACTGGAACCAAGCCTGGAAAAAGTTGATGATCACTGTTGTGCTCTACAACTTCACGCCACACAGCAACAACATTAAAAGGCACACACAGATATTGGGTTAAATTAATTTATACTTTCCATTGGTGAATGAAATATATTTGTAACATTTTTTGCTCTTGATTTGCCCTCCATCTTGGATGTGTTACAAAATGAGGTATCTTAGAAGGCAACATGATGGGCCCTATTTTAATGATCTGAGCGCATGGTCTAAAGCGCATGGCGCAAGTGCACTTGGGTATAGCCTGGAGAAACATCTCCGAGTGTTGTTCTTTGCTCGGTTTTTAACTAAAAGGAAATGTTCAAACCGCTTAAAACAGACGCGATAGCTGATTCGAACGAGTGATGTTCGACGGCGGCATCCATCTTTGTAATGTAGGCAACAAAATCTGCTTCAAAATCCCAGCGCTGTCGTCATCGTGTAAAGCCCGCCCCAACGTTTCTGATTGGTGCCTCGATTTCGACGGATTGGAAATGGGCTTGAATGAGCTCTTTGCCAGACTAACTTTCAGAGCAAATCTAAATTTGCCGGAAGTTGTCTGGGTTTTCCCAGGCTTGCACATGGGGCATGTCGAATCCACTTTTGCTAGTTTAACGATGGTCTTAAAGGGTTGTTTTGGGCGTAACGTGCAATAAACCAATCAGAGTCTCATCTCCTATTCCCTTTAAAAGCCAGTTGCTCTCCCGCCATGGCAGAATTTGCAAGTGGAAAAACTGACCTCTTCCCTAGCGAGGAATTGGATCTGCTCCGTTAAAGCAAGGTTAAAGAGCGCAAGCAGACCATCTATGGGACAAAGTGTACGCGCGTTGTGCACCCGCCTATAGGCGCATATTACTAACGCGCTCTTTAAATAACAAACAAAATATTGCACCATTGACTTCAGACCAGGTTTTCGTTGGTCAATGGTGCAGTCTATTTCAGCTGCCTCAAAGTAGCAACGCGCCAACAAAGCGCCCGAACACACCTCGTTTTCAGACCAGCGCACGCATGGGCGCACAAATGGGCACAAATGCAATTGCTATTTAAACAACGTGGCACAGGACGTGAAAATGATAACTGCGTCGGGTTAAAACTAGCAAAAAACACTTGTGTCGCGCCTGGCACCGCAAAGCTTGTGTCACTCTGGAGGTCACAGAAGGTGCCTTAAAATACTAACTAGGTTGGCATCTCACTCGATTTGGGAACAGAGCTAGTATTGCAATATACTCATAGAATGTTCCAATCATTAAAAACTTTCTTTGCATGTATGTTGTATCTTATGTTGTCCTCACAAAGAGTGTGTCTCATTTTGTCTGCAGAAAAAGCAAGAGCAAACATGGCCAAGCCAACGGAGGGGGTCAGAAATTGGAAACAGTGAGTGCAAATAAGTATAAATGAACACACACACACATATTTACACAGTGTAATTATGGACATGGATGTACATACGTATACATGATAATGTTTTGTATCACAGGCTGCGCTGCGCCAGTCCAAGCTGAACTCAATGAGTAAATCTGACACCCGCCTGCATGACATGCACAGGCTGCCCTGCAACGCCAACGGTGAGAGAGACAGAGAGAATTCACTGCTCTTTATGACACTTGTACACACATACTCATTTACCACACACACACACACGCATATATGAACTGGCCGACGCACGTGCGTGCAAAGGCTGACGTCTCCAGAGGCTTGTCATGGTAATATGTTCCAGTGTGTTCCCACTTCCCACCGCCACAAACCTGTGATCTGCGAGGCTGAGAAAGACAGTTGTCAAGCTATAGACAGAGAACACACACGCCTCAAAGCCTTATATATATCAGCTTCTGATCTTTTACATCCAGACCAATGGATACTCAGTTCCATTTAGTGTACACAAATACACAAAATAGGTCCCAATTCTGTGAAGGTCAACATGAAATCAAGACTGACCCTATTTACTTTCGTAATGCTTGCTCCTGGTTGCAATATGCTGGATTCATCAATCCACATTATTCCAACTTAACCCCCCAGAAAAAGGATGGGTCCTTAACTTAACTACAAGGCACAAGCTGATTGGTTCCTGTTGCATTTGCAGGCAACGAGCTTGCAGCTCAGCATTTACAAAGTTGGTCAGTGTTCGCTGTAACAGTTTGCAGCACACTTTCAAAGTTTTTCTGAAACCCTCCTCCTTCCCCAGCTCCACCTGTATAGATCGGCTACAGTTAATTCATATATGCTATTTGTACAGTAGCAGAATATCTCACATGCTAACAAGTAGCAGTGTGTCTGTGTGTGTATTGGCAGTAGCACGTATCTATGCACTTGCTCTGCAGCAGCAGCAAAAATCAACAGCAGCGTAGCAGATCTGTTCCGCCAAGACCAAATACATTGTCATTGCTAAACTATTACCATGCTAACATTACCATGCTAAACTAAAGTTTTCATGCTAGAAATTGCTTCAACTGTGAAATGACTTTCCTTTTTCTGATGATGTCACCAAGACCACAAGTTTCAACGCCAATGTCATGCAAGATCGGCAGTGGTATGCAATGCTAGTATGCTAAACTGTTAGCTTGCTAACTGAAAGCTAACTGAAAATACAAAAAAAGGTAAATGTTTCATTTGACCATTTTCAGCTTTGGTAAAATCATGCGATTCATACTTTAGAAGACACAAATTCACATTTTTATTTTAAACGGAGTTGCCAGTGAAGTTTCATGTTGGCTTTTAACTCATTGTACTGTATGTATGCAGGTTTAAAGATATGTCAATTTGGGAGTGTGTTGGAAATACGAGATAATCAAATAGTAATGGTCTGCCCTCTTGTGTTTCCCTGGAGTAATGTCAAATAATGTGACATTTCTAATGACCCTTTGTAATATGTGCGTGTTCATTATTGTATCTGATATCAATACTCCAGACTGTCTTTAATCTTAATCCTCTGTTTAATCTTTCCCATCTCTCTTGTCTTAATCCGTGTTATTTGGATTGACAGGCGCCCCTAAGAGCCGGCCGGCCAGCATGGACCTCCTGCTCCTGCATACCCGCCGCTCCAATTCTGACCTCCGACCCAGCCCGGCCCGCCAACTGCCTCGCGTTCCCAACAAACCTGACAGCGAGGAACGTGAGCACACCTACTCCGAAGTTTCCCGCCACGCCTCTCCCACGTCCCTCCCACCAGATGACGGCCTGTATGAGAGCGTTGGAATCAAAGGGGCTGATAAAGCTGCTCCGCCTGCTGCCCTTGTCCCGCCGTCAACCAACACGCCCACTCAGCGCCGAGCCCACAGCCCGACGTCCAGTGGGAATGGCCAAGGTGGAAGCAGAGGAGGCGTGAGTCAAGAGGCGGTGACGGCAGAATACGCCTCTATACGGAAGATGAAGAAGCTGGAGCGCGGCAGGAGGGAGGAAGTGGTGGAGGATGGAGAAAGGGAGCACCAGAGCGTGTCCAGCAGCGAGTCCTCCAGCAGCACCTTGCCTAGGAAATCCGTGGAACCATTTCACCTACCCAATTTCCCAAAGGTGAAGATGACACAGATCAGCCACACATCCAAAACAGTTATAGTCAAAAACATACGTTCATAACCAAAAATGGGCAGCAAAAACCCACAGAAACCTTGAAGGGGGGACTTGGTCCATGTATGGAGGGGCTTTCGCACCGGGTGGTTAGCCTATAGGAACTCAGTTATAGGTACTAGCCACCAGGGGTGTCCCCCGAGAACTAAATGTTCCCCTACGATCATATTCCTAGTTGCGTTCGCACCGCCAGTTGGAACTTTGAAGTGACGTAAGCCGTCACTTACGTCCTGTGCGGGACTTTTATTTTGACGGCGCTGAGAACGACTTAGCCAGAGCCTGAGCACACAGCACTCCCATTCTCCATCTTCATCACTTTACGGTCTGTTTAACAGTCCTATCTAATACGTTATTGTATAGAACGGTTAAACAAAGAAAGTAAACAGTAGTATATGAAAAAAGTATTATAGCGTTTGTGTCGCTAGCTGAGCAGAAATATACAATCATGTTTTTCTTGGTCCCTTCAAAGTCACGTTGGATTTCCTGCTTATCGTAAAGGTTGAGAAGTGCCTAGACTTCGGCGTCGGGCCATCTATCTCTGGTTTACATGTTCGTAGAGTAAATATATAGGCTATAAACTGTGTTTACACAGCTTTTTAGAAATGGCAGCTGCCGGTGTTTCACAAGCGTTCGGCCAATCAGCGTACAGTACACTTATGTCACTGGTAGTTCCTATTGTGCTGGTTTAGACCCTACTCTGATGTAGGAGCTATATTTAGTCGCCCCAAAGGGCAAGAACACCCTAGCAAGCAACTAGATCAACTCAGCAACCATAGTAATGCACCAAAACCCCTCTCAGAACAACTTAGCAACCTTATAGCAACACCCTAGCAACCACCAAGAAAACTCCTGCAACCCAATAACTTACTATAACCTCAGAACAACTTAGTAACTGCTTAGCAATGCCCTAGAAACAATCCTGGGCTGTGTTTCCCAAAAGCATCATTAACCAATTATGGTCGCAAGTTCCATTGAACTCTATTTGTAACGACAGATCTTGTGACCATTGTTGTCTTTGGGAAACACAACCCAGCAACCACATAGTAGCAGACAAAAAACCTTAGAACAAATTAGCGGCTACCTAGCAACACCGTAGCAACCTCCCAAAACACTCCCAACTACCACAAAATAAGGCACTTGAAACTTTCCAGAACAACTTAGCAACTGCATGGCAACGCCCTAGCAACCACATAGTAGTGCACTAAAACCTTGCAACAACCTATCAACCACCCAAAACACCCCAGCAACCACATAATAAAGCACCACATACTCCCCAGAACAACTTAGCAACTGCGTGGCAATACCCTAGCAAACACCCCAGAACAACTTTGCAATTGCATAGCAATGCCATGCTAACAACTTAGAACACCCTAGCATCTTTAAGGTAGCCTACTCTCATTTTCTTCATAAATGTAAGTCTTTCTAATGTTGATGTTCCTGTAGCTCAACTAGTAGAGCATTTATGCAACGCCAAGGCCATGCATTCTATTTCCAGGCAATAGACATGCAAAAAAGTGGCTTTTGTTATAATTGTCTGCCATTTGCACAGATGTAAGTGGCAAGCTCTTGAATGCAGAGCCTAGTAGTGCAGTTATATGTGTTGACCACTAGATACTGCTGTTTCATATAAAAATATCCTACGTTCACCAAACTGACGCATTAGCTAAAATCTTCATGACTGATTTGCATGAATGATGACTTTTAAAGGGCCCATTTTTTCAGAATGTTAGATGTTAAATGTTTTAGATTAAAACAGGTTCAAGAAATTAACATTAGCAAGTGTTAAAATGTTGCCCATAATCTAACTCATTTGAAAGTATAAAGTGAGCTGACATAAAATTAAAGATACTTTAAAGATTAAAAAAAATACATAGAAGTATTTGTATTTATTTATTTGTATTTATTTATTTAGAAAAAAATAAATAAATTGATGACAAGTGATGCAATGTCAGTTGTTTTAGCTAATACTCTGTGCTTCTGTTTGCGTTTCACCCATATTCGTGGTCGGCTGATACCTGTTTATGTTTTCAAGGACAGATGTGATTTGAACAGCATGTGTAAAGATGGTTCCTTTAAAATGGAAAACACTCAGACAATGATCGGATAATGATTCTGTCTTCCTGTTAACTCAGCACTGCTCTACTTGTCTCTATTTGTGTGTGTGTGTGTGTGTGTGTGTGTATTTGTGAGTGCCATTAGTTTGCCACATGGAGATTAAAATCTTCTTTGTCACAAGTTTGTTGATTGACGGCTTGTTTACACAGGCATGGTATTGTACAGTATTTGGTGCATACCTGTTTTTCTAAATCTGACATACAGTAGGCTTACTTAATGTTCAAGCAAAGTTAAATAATATGTAGTGTGTGTGTGTGTGGGTGTGTGTTTGTTTGACCTGCATTATTTCCGAGTCTGCATCTAATGTAAATATTATTGAAGTTTGTGTAAGAGCGATCATGCAGTGCAGTTGTGCATCACTCCAGTGCAGTGGGCCTGATGATTATGTAAGATGTGTTGGCTGGCTGCCCGTCCCGCCATGTGTTTTTTTTTTTTGTTAAAGGCATCAGGGAGGAACCACAGAGAGCAGGTAGTGGCTTCAGCCAGGGAAATAAATAGCAGCAAACACTGTATCCATTCATCTACTGGTAGTATTAATCATTCATACAGGAGGTGTGTTTCTCTCCCTCTTTAATCATTGAGTCTATACGCGGCGTACATATCTGCTCCTGTAATCATTAACTCACAGAACACTTCCATTGTAGAAACAAACACCAATAAGTACGAAATTAAAGGAACAGTTCAGGCATTTCAGGCCACAATGAACTTTCTTTCTTCCTTCTGTGGGACACAAACGGAAGAATGGACTGGCCACCGTTCATATGACAAAATTCAGTGTGTTATCATCCCCTCGAGGGGATCTGACCAGCCTGTGTGTTCCTCGTGTGTCCAACAGGAGGCGGTCTTCATGGGCAACGGGGAGCAGTACATTTGGAAACCACCAGAAGAGGATGAGATCATCGTGCCAGGGGTTCCTCAGCTGGAGAACGGACACAGCCATCCCACCGCCGTGGAGGTAACGTCTCCCTCGCTATCCCAGCACTGCAGACGGGGTCAGGACATTTGAGTCTAAGTTTGCATGAAGGGATCAGGTTGCAGATTTTGACATTTGACCCCTAAAATCCAGGACTCATTCGCATACATTTCGGCCCTCTTTGGTCTGACCTTTGTCCGTCAATAAAGAGTGTTTTCTGGCACAGGAAGTGAGTGGAATGATGGCTGTAGTCTGATAAATTGTGGCTAGAGAGGAGAGAGAGAGAGAGAGAGAGAGAGAGAGAGAGAGAGAGAGAGAGAGAGAGAGAGAGAGAGAGAGAGAGAGAGAGAGAGAGAGAGAGAGAGAGAGAGAGAGTTTGAGCCTTATACTCTCCCTCCCCCCTCCTCTCTCTCTCTATCGCTGGCTAGGAATGGCATGACTAACTGTCAGGTCAAAGGTCTGTAGACTGCGCTGGTTAAGGACTGTCAGTTCAGGGTTGGTGTGAGGGAAGGAATATGAGTACTCTGGGTCAGCCTGTGTTTAATCGGTTTCCTGTGGCCAATCAAAACTTACAAGCTGGATTCAGTGTTTACAGCAAATGTATTCTGAAGAATACTAGATCCTATTAGGAACTTACAAGGACCATTATCACTGGGGGAAAATAAATCTTCATCAGTTTTGTCTTGTTTTCCAGCGGAAATATCGAAACAAGATTTACTAGAAAAGCTAAACTGTGTAAGATAATAGTTTTAGACTGATAAATTAGACTTTTTGTAAAATATACATTACTGTTGAAAATTTTAGTGTTTGTATGATTTTTAAAAAAAAAAATTTTTTAAGAAATGTGCTTTTATTCAAAAGTTATGAACCCAGACAGCAACATAGTGTCGGTCCAGATTCGGCCCACTTCTGGTATGTGTGGAATCCACATGTGTTGCTGTCTGGGAATACTTTTATTCAAAATTCAAAAACATTTATAATGTTACAAAAGCTTTCTACTTCAAATAAATGCTTTAAAAAAATTATATTAATCAAAGAAGCCTGAATAAATGTCCCAGTTTCCACAAAAATATTGAACTGTTTTTATCATTGATAATAATAGGAAATGTTTGTGGAGCATCAAATCAGCATATTAGAAGAATGATTTCTGAAGGATCATGTGACACTGAAGACTGGAGTAATGATGCTGAAAATTCAGCTTTGATCGCAGGAATAAATTACATTTTAATATATATTCAAATAGAAAACAGTTCTTTTGAATTATAATAATATTTCAGAATATTAGTGTTTTTACTGTATTTTTTTATCAAATAAATGCAGCCTTGGTGAGCAGAAGAGACTTTAAAAAAAAATATATTACCAACCCCTAACTTTTGAACAATAGTGTATCTCAAAGTTTTGTTTTGTTGCTATTTTAACTATAAAGTTATCTAAATTTAGTTATATTTATGCTTGATACAAGAAAAATAGTTAGTAGGTTAAGGAAAATGATCTTAATTCAAAATACAAGTCTCTAAATTATTATTATTTATATTTTGCATTGATCATACCACAACATTTCAGTGAAACGTTTAACTTTTGTTCTACTTCTAGAATTTGTGGCTCGGGTGGCATTAAATGAACTTTTAAATGTCATTCTATTCATGTTTTGTTCATTAGTAGTGTAACAGTACACTGAACTCCTTTGGCTCAGACAGAAGTGTTGACTGTTGCAACCGTTGAGCTGAATACACTTCTCCACGCTCTTCTCTGCTCATTCCTTCTCTTGTCCAGACACGCCCAGAGTCATGTCACGAGGTGGGTGTGTGAGTGTGTAGGCGGCCCACTTCACTTAACACATTATACTGAACTAATAACACCTGTGAACCTTTCATGATTTTAGATCAAAAATGACATACTGTACAATACTGTTTAAAAGATTACTCTCTTTTTCCTTTTTTAAAAACAAAACAAAACAAGAAATTTAGTACTTTTATTCAGCAAGGGCACATTCATTTGATTAAAAGTGACAGTAAAGACATTTATGACAGTACAACAGATTTCTGTTTCAAATAAATGCTGTTCTTTTCAACTTTCTATCTATCAAAGAATCAAAGGATCATGTGACACTGAAGACTGGAGTAATTATGCTGAAAATGTAGCTTTGTCATCACAGGAATAAAATACATTTTAAAATATGTTCAAATAGAAAACATTTAATGTAAATTGTAATACTATTTCACAATATGACTCTGTTTTACTGTATTTTTGATTAAAATAAATGCAGCCTTGGTGAACATTAGAGACTTCAGGAATAACCACCCTTAACATAAGCAATACTGGACAATGAAACAAAGGAAACTGAGGGCTTAAATACAAGGGAGAGTAATCAACTAAACAGAAATAGGTGCGTAAAACTATAATTAACAACCAAGGAAAATAATAAAAGGAACACGGGCAAACCAGTTTCTGTGCGTGTTGTAAAAACTGTATGTATAATTATTATATAAAATTATTATATCAACTTGGATGTTTAAGTAATTTCAACTTAAATTACATTAAACTGACTTAAATGAGGTGAATCTTGTATAACTTTTAAAATTGCTTAACTTATTTTGATGAGTTAAAGAAATGTAAAAACATGTTGTCACAACTTATTGATCGTATCATTTCTTACATTGTCTTTGACTTAAAAGATCAGTTTTAAATAGAAAAAAAAATTCTAATGTTTGAAGAATTAGGTTGATATCACTCCTGTGCTTACTTCATGAAATCTCTGACCTGTAGTGCCACTGTGCCTTTGTGTCAAGTGCAAACACACCAGTGAGAACGTGTGTACGCACACATACAACAAGACATACAACTGAGCTGCTTCAGAAGACTGCATTTTTAAGAAGAGAAAAAAGTGTGTTGGGGGAGGGGGGGGGGGGGGGGTGAAAATGCAAGGGAATGAAGCAATATGAAGGGGGAAGAAAGAGAGTGAGAGAGCAAGAGGAAGAGGAAAAAACCTCTCAAGGCTTTCTCAACAGCTGCAGAGAGTTTTGAAACCCCCGTCATTGTGATTTCCTCTCGCTCTGCAAAGCGCTGCACAGCACGGTAAACAATGCTCGACACGGAGGAGAAGAGATCAGCGTGGCGCACGCACGCACACACACACACACATCTGGGAGTCTCGCACAACATTGAACTCAGCGGTTTTCCTGAAATCGGCTGGTTCAGTCATGCCTGCGTTCAGGCGCATGCAATGCCTCCTGCAGATTATACAGTAGGCCTACAGGCTAAAATACTGAACGCTGCAGTGCTGTTGACAAACTCAGTTTGCATGCACAGCTCTATTCATGCCATAACATCTCCTCAGTCTTTACACACGGATGCCATAAAGGTCACTATGAGAGCTGAGTTCCTGACTGGGATTTTATACATGCCATTGAGCTGGGAGTGCTAAATGCCATCTAGCAGAGAGAGGTTATGTGAGGTTACCAGAGCACGCACACACACACACTTGTATTGGACCACATGGACATCTTCCCACCCGTTTAGCTCCTGTCTGGTTAGCGGTGTTAAAGCCGTTTCGGTGGGCTGCTGTGGTGAAAGTTTAACAGGCTTATCTGCGGGTTAGGTAACACTTCTGCTCTCTGCAGCCAGATAAGAGCGTTTACACTGGCTCTGTCGATCACGGGCCAAAGTGGGTCATGTTTCTGCTGTGTGCAAGCAGAGTCCTGTTACAACGCACGCCTCCGTCAAATACTCAACACTGTGGGCGTTTATGTACATATACTACATCTTCAGCCAGGCATATTATAGGTTGTGTTAACTCTTCTCTGTCCTGTTGTCTTTTACTTTTAGTTTGCTAAGCAATTGTCACTGCTACTAGCCTGGTTAAAACCAGACCATTCTCAGTAGTAACTGAGTTATGGTCTGGCAAAGCGTCATAGACAAATCATTTCTAGAGGGGCGTCACCAACGGACGTCGCGGATAGACCTAAACCCAATCAGAGCGATGAAGGAGATGACGTATGCAGAGCGGCGGAGAAACATCTCCAAGTGTTGTTCTTTCCTCGGTTTTAACTAAAAGGAAATGTTCAAATCGCGTAAAACAGACGCGATAGCTGATTCGAACGAGTGATGTTCGACGGCGGCATCCATCTTTGTAATGTAGGCAACAAAATCTGCTTCAAAATCGCAGCGCTGTCGTCATCGTGTAAAGCCCGGCCCAACGTTTCTGATTGGTGCCTCGATTTCGATGGATTGGAAATGGGTTTGAATGAGCTCTTTGCCACAAACTTTCAGAGCAAATCTCAGTTTGCTGGAAGTTGTCTGGGTTTTCCCAGGCTACACTGCTACTATTGATCAACTCTAAATCTGAGAGATAAACTTTGATGTGGGACTTGTCCTGTATAGCATTTGTGCTACGCTCATGAATGAGACCTCAAATCGTGATATATAGATTATATTCTAAGGCTACATGTGGCCCAAATCTGATTTTTTTTCGCCCACATGAGCCTCAGATCTGTTTTTCTCATGACAGTGTGAACAGCTCAAACCACATGGAATCTGATCTTTTCCATTCTGATTTGTGCCACTTCCATATGTGCTACTAAATCCGATACTGCGACCGCTGTCTGAATAGTCACTCTAGATCACAATTCTGCGTTCATGGGAGTCAGATTTTTACATACCCGACATTATCAAAACAGTTGCGAAAGGTACTCAGTGAAGGACACAGTCATGTGTCAGAGCTCATAAGTATTACAGTGACAGCTCTATATGCAAGCAAATCATGAGGGCTCATATCATAAATGTTTCAAAATTTCTGCTCTCTTCTTTTAAATCCTCTTCTTTGTTTTGTGTATTGCCTGTGCATAAATCTGCTGGCTTCGGTGGCAGATCACACTATAAATAAACGTGTAATCATGTACTTAATAATGTCCTCCGTGTTTATTTCCATATGACAACATGCTGTGTGACGTCTTTTTATCGTTCTTTTGCGGGTCAGTTCAGGACAATGATCTGTTCCAAGCGACAACCTTCCTGTCTCTCTCTTGAATCCAACACGGCGGAAGTGACTTAAACTGCATTCATCTACGTGCCGCTAGAGACAGGCTCCAAAAGAGAGTCAATCCCATAGACCCCCATGTTAATATGCCCAACTTTACAGCAAAAAAAAAAAAAAAAGTGTTCACAGCCTGGTACAAAAAGTGGTTTTGGTCTATATAGCTAATGTTGCCCTTCATGACAACTGTTTGACAAGTTGTTTTTTATATAACTCATCCGTTTATATTATATTAAGCCTTAAAGTTCTGCATAATTAAGGGCGTGGCCACTTGAGTGACAGGTGGATTGCCGCTGATGTCACTACTAGCCGTTTGTCTGCTGTCTGTTAGCCGTCACCTCGGCTAATCCCGCCTCTTTGCCCATTTTCGGTTATCTGGGAGTGACGCGCTGCCAAGATGGCGACGGCCAGCTCCGCCCACTTTGGGCTTCAAAAATGCTCTTCAGAAACCTAGGGGTGACATCACGGACACTACGTCCATATTATTTTACAGTCTATGATCTGTTCACACTGGAATCTGATATTGGCCACATTTAAAACAACAATGTGAACTGTTATTAAAAAAAAAATCATATCTGAGCAGTAAATCGGAATTGAGCACCAAGGCTTGTGTGAACATAGCCTAAGTGATACATTTTCACCTGAAAATACAGATAAAAATCCCATAGAGTTAAACTGCGGGAGAGGAACATCTCCTTATAGAAACCACTTAGAACAATGTAGTAATCACTTGCAAATTTGTTCTGTGCTTTGAAATCGGCGCGCTTCAAGTCCTTCAGCACTCTAACTGTAACTTGAGAATCTGCTCCACAGGACTGTTGTTGTTGTTACGAAATCCACTTTGGCACAGCTGATCTTTTGCACACTCTTGAGTGTTTCTCATTCTGCGGTTCTCTCTCTCTCTGTCCTCAGATCTCTGACATGTACTCTACCGTTTGTAAGACCCTGAAGAGGAGACACCAGCAGGGCCAGAGCCAGGAGGAGAGCAGGCCGATGGCCTCTGCTGCGCCCCAGGAAGAGGACAGGGGTGCCGCGGGCTGGCCCGCTGCCGGAGCCACGGGGGAAGAGGCGTGGGGGAGGACCGGCTCCCAGGAGGAGCCCTGCTATGAACCTGTGGGCGAGAAGACGTGGCCCCGGGGCCTGGCAGTGGAGTCGGACCCGGCTTACGCCACCATTGATTCCCACCGGAAAAGGGAGAAGCTGGCCAGCAACACGCTGAAGCCCAAAAAGAAGCCCGCCCAGGGTCCGGGCAGGGCCATGACCTGCGAGAACTTTTACGAGACAATCGGCGATGTGAAGCAGGGAGCAAACGCAGCGAGCACCACCACTATCTTTACCTTTAACGACGGCATGGAAATGTACGTTACGGGGCTATAAAAAACAGCCTGACTTAAACCGTCAAATGAAACACACCTACAGAGGGGGAAAGAACAAACTGCAGCCCTCTTGTTGTGACAAATCAAAAGATACACACAGCTTACAGCTGCCAAACACATGCAAACCTACAGTACATAACCATATGACCAATGTATATTTATTGGAGAGCAACACTCATGCAGACTAAACCAATACTGAATTGGCTGAACCAGGCCTGCAGACGGGTGGTGTTTAGCATGCTCACCAAATCCAGGGATCTAGACCGGGTTTTCCGCCATGCTACAGCAGTCGCTACACTGCAAAAGAACGATTTCCCTCTTGTTTTTCAGGAAAATACCTTAAATCATGGAACATTTATTTGAGAAGCAAAATGACATTAGATAAAGTCTTGTTTTCTGAAAAGAAAAACATCTAAATTAAGTGACTTTATGCTTGAAACAACAAAAGTGAGGAGGTTCACAGAGTAATTTCAGGAGGAGTGAACCAATATAATCTTTCAATTAAATGCCGGAGCATATAAGCAGCCGCTCACTTTGCTCTGGCATCAGCTGCTTTGGCATCCCTCCACCTCCCCAACTCCACCAATATAATTTAGGCATCTTGCTACCATACTCCTCATCCAAGCATTAGTAGTCCCACTGGGGGGTATAGCTAAGCTCAAGTTGAAGCTGCTTCCTCGAGCCCCTCCATTGCGGACAGCAAGCCAAATACGCTTAACCTTATTAGCTTAAAGATTATATGGGCGAAGGAACTCGTGAAGTTTATTTCTCTTAAATAAACTCGTTTACTCTCTTATCCCATTGGCAGATATTTTTTCGTGTTCTAAATATAATCTCACTTAGTTTCAAGATTTTTTAATGCAAGATTTAGTAACAGCTTGCGCCAGCCTAAACCCTCTTTTGTCAGGATTTACTAAAGACACGCAGTGAAAAATTAGCTATAAAAAAAAGCATGGACAGTTATTTTTGCGGCTAACCTTTTTTGAAGTTTCCCTTTCAGATGCAACATTAATGGGAGGAGAGTTTTTGAATGAACAATGTACTGTGATTTACTCAGAATTGAGAAATAGTCAACTCTCTGGTTTAACGTCCAAAAAAAAGCATGTCTTAACCCATTTTGCGCCTGACATGCTGCTGTAGTTGCTGTAGGATGGGCGTGGTAAAAGGGGGAGAATTTTCTCCTCTCGGGCACAGGAACACAAGCAAACAGGAAAATCCAAGAACGGATATGAGAATCAAAACCACAACACGGCGCACAAAAAAGCAGTGTGAGACATACTAGACTTCGCAACGAGTGACTGAATATATAGGCTTATATAGGCAGAGTTAACAAGGGTAATGGGAAACAGGTGGGAGTAATCAGAACATAATGAGTCCGGGCAATGGTTTATGGGAAATGTAGTTCATGATAGAATGGCAAAGGACTAGGGAATGTCCACTGGTGGTAATCAAGAGCACTGCAGCTGTTGGATGTAACAGGTAGATTGCGCTGGCCATAATGGAAATGAGCCGCTTCGTCTGTGTTCTTTAGTTTGCACATTGTCAGTAGATCATCTGCAGAAATTTCCACTCCCATCTGCGCTTTTATGGTATTCTGGTCTCACGCTAAATTGCCCTGGGGTGTGTTTCCCATTCAACGAGATAACTCGCTGCTTAACTACCATACCATACATTGCATCATTGAAGGAATCAACTAGCTAGTCACGACTGTTTCCCGAAAACGTATAGTTGCAAATTTGTCCAAATTTTTAAAACCATATTGTTGCCATGTACTATGGTAACCACGTTGGTTAATGATTTCACGCAGGTGGTGGAGTAATAACTTCTTTTAATGAATCCGTTTGAGATCGGATTAATGCAAACATTTTTTGCTATAAATTATGGACATGGCATCTGAGGACTAATTCAAACTTTTTCTCAGTTAATTTGCTTTATGACAAACTAAAAGACGTAAATGACATTTGTATATATTCGAAAGAAAATATATAGATAGTTCTGAATGTCAGTTTGCTTATTTGCTTAAGATGATTTATTAAGTGGACATGTCATGCTAACAAGAAACTTTTTCTTGTTCCATTGTTGACGAGAGCTGTCGTTCAAACTGCACAACTTTGCAACACTATTTGCGAGTGTCCGTTGGAACTATGGTTTCGGGAAACACATTGAGGGAAAACCGACCCGTTGAACAAAGCTGATAAGTTATAACGACGGAGCTTGCGACCATAGTTGGCTAGCGATGCTTTCGGGAAACACACCAATGTTTAGTAAATATGGCCCATAATATCTTAAGTAATTTTGCTTCTCAAGAAAATGTATCTTGTTTTGTACTGAAAAACAAGTAAAAAAAATAATGAGTAACACAATTTTTTTTTTTTTTTGCTGTGTAATGGTAGTTTCCTGCAGGGTTAAAATCAGTATGACTTAGCACAGGAGAGTCTGGATGTGATTAAATCAAACAGGATGTACACACTGTCGCACTGCCGTGTGAGCTCTATACCTGCAGATTAACACAGGGATCACATGAGACGTCAGCTTAACCCCCCTTCGCCCTGAAAACACACCTGACTGGTTCTCTCAGCTGGAGACTGCCGGCCACCAGCACAGTGTTAGTTTAGCTGAAACAGAATACCGAGTTAACTTCTCCTTTTTTTCCACCTTAAACATTATGTATGCGAAGTGACAGTTTAGGTGGTGTACATACAGTATGTGTGGTCATTTTTCAATACGCACGTAACTTACAGTCAGGCTCAGGCGGAATCTGCAGATTTTTTGCACTGATCTTGGAGAAGAATCTGCACAATTGTGTTTAAAATGAGTTAAACAAAGCTACCTGCTTAACTGAATGCATTACATACAACTATCATTACTTTACAATAAATACATATTATTATTTTTTTTACATACACCAGCGTTCAAAAGTTTGGGTTCTGTAAATTTTTTTAATGGTTTTCAAAGAAGTCTCTTATGCTCAGCAAGCATCATTTGAACAAAATTACAGTAAAAACAGTAATACTATTATAACAATTTAAAATAACTCTTTTCTATTTGAATATATTTTATAATGTAATGTTTTCTGTGATGACAGTGCTGAATTTTCAGCAGCCATTCATTTTTGTGGAAATAAGTTTTTTTAAAGGGTACTTAGAATTATTTAAAATTTAAAAGAAAAACATTTATTTAAAATAGAAATCTTTTGTAACATTATAAATGTCTTTACTTCCATTAACTGTATTAATTTCTTTTCTGACCCCAAACTTTTGAATGGTAGTGTGTGTGTGTGTGTGTGTATATATATATCATATTTAAAAAACTCCAAAATACTTGATATACAAACACTTTTGCAGAGCTTTCCGTGGAGTTTTGCGGCTGCAGATTCCGTGTGGGCCTTCTTAAAGTTCACTTTATGACTGTGCAAGTGCATTAGCTCTTCAATTTCTTTAGTTTTTTTTTTTGTTATTTTGTCTATAGCATGCCACTTCTGCTCAATATTTGGATGTCAGGTAGTTTTAGTGATATGACACTCGTTTCTCGCAAGAATTGATTTTCGTTTCTTTTTGCAGTATTAACAGAATGGAAAGTAGAGAAAAAAAGCAAAACAAGATTTTCTCGGGATGCCTCAGCCTAGCTAGTTAACATGTCATTTTCAATGGCCATTGTTAACATCGGAGTTTATGAGGCTTGTAGCGTCAGTGTGCTGGAACATTGCGGTGTGAGAGTATACAGAGGGCAATAAAGGCTTCTAGTTTGGCCGGGGCCGCTCTCTATCCACTGCTCTCAGGTCAGTGTGAGCCAGCACTGCTCCCCGGCTCACTGGGCCTCCGACTGGCTTATCCGCCAGCAGCATTTCATGGAGACAGTGTCCAAGGAAAACACAGCACAAGGCTTATGGTTGCTAGTAAATGTCTTTTGGAAGGACGTCTCATATTCTGGGCTGTCTGTGCGACTTGATCCTATTGTAAACAATGCCTTTCCCACATGCATTATGGGAGCTTGGATTAGGATCGGGGAAAATAATAGCACAATGGAGCAACCTCGGCAAGAGGAAACCATTTGAGATGATCCCCGAAGACTTCCAAGGCCCATCAGCACGAAATACAACAACTCGAATGCATGGTTGGTGATTTTACTACACTGCATATACAGATCATTAAAGTCTGTTGGAGGGCTACAGGAAAAGGCCCTGAGGAAAGGGATTTTGGGATTCGAGAAGGCCAAATTATCAGCTCAGGGATGGATAGATAAGAGTTCATTAAGGATAAATAACCAAGATGCTGTCGTCATTCATGTCACACGCAACCTCTGGTGAGAAACGTTGGGTTTGTCATGTCCGTTTTAATATATACTCAGATGAAAGATTTTTATGGCACTCTATTTTCTTATAAAATTGTATTGGTTAACTCCACTTGTAGCAACATGTTCAAAAAGCTACTATCACTGCCATTCACGTGTCCCACTGTAGACTGCAACTATTTCCTTGCTTGCAATGCATGCTTCTGAAAACAAAAGGCTCTCGTTTTTTTTTTTCTTTATCCTCTCTGGTGCATCAAATAATGTATAATTCATACCCGTGCCTCACACTATAAGACAGTGCCAAAAAACACACGGAAAAATGGAAAACCGGTCACCAAACGGGAAGAGGAGACACAACAGGCTGCTGAGAGGTTATGGATCGTCTCAGGAAGCACAAAGCACATATCTGGTCCAGGACTCGTCCAAAACAGTGGGGATCTGGTCTCACAGCCACTGTAGGCCCTCCCTGCTGTTATTAGCATGTGTCCTTGAGACTTGCCATTTTAAGGGAGGAAGTGTGCTCCACTTTAGCTTTGGCTTGGCGGTTCCTCCCACGTCTGAATCTGTCCTTCTAGCACAGGGCTGGCTTTGTATAGTGGGGCGGATCGGTGCTTTTGATGTTGATGTTCTGAGAGAGTCTGCGAGAAGCGATCGTCCAGATCGTCCATTGTTTTTGTCGAAAACGAGGGTGTGATTTGTACAGATTGCACAAGGGTTTACTGGTTTTTCAATCATGTTTGTTCTTTAAAGGGGCGGAGAAATGACAGGCCTGAAGTATGATATTTATTGGCAAGTGTGTAAATAAAATATCTATAAAAAAATCCACCTGCTTGCGTTAAACAGATGACATACGTTGACGTGATGCACCCGACCATTTATGGTTCAACAAAAAAGGACATTCTACCATACTGAAACAGACCAAATCGCATGTATATAGAGCATACAGCAATGCAACATAACTATATAAGCTCTGGTATTGATGTTATAAAAAGCAATGAAAGTTTTCTACTTCTGCTGTTTAGGTTGTATGTTGTGAAGTGTGTACATAGTAACACTGCTTCCCCAGCATATGTCCTTGGCTTAACTGAGTTGATGTGTGGTCCACCCAAAGTGTAACACAGAGTATGGTGTATAAAAAATATCTGTTTAGTAATATTCTGTGCAAAAGATTGTAATGTTTTCTATAAAAAAAATCATTCATATAAATATTTGTTTTTACTTTTTTAATAAAGTTGCACCTTATGACTGGTTGTGTGCCGACTATTCCACTGTAATATAGCATGTGTGTATCTTTGGAGACTGAGCTTTTGAAAAGGCTTTTGTTGATGGGTTTATAAGGTGGGAGAACATATTCCCCGGGTTTCACAGACACCCAGTCCCAGACTAAAATGCATGTTTGAGCTGTTTTAAAGTGATAGTACACCCTAAAATGAAAATTCTGTCATTAATTACTCATCCTCATGTCGTTCCAAACCCCGTAAGACTTTCGTTCATCTTCGGAACTCAAATGAAGATCTTTTTGATGAAACCTGAGTAATTTCTGTCTCTCGATTGGCAGCTACGCAACCGACACTTCAAAAAACTCATAAAGAGATCGTAAAACTAATCCATTTGAATTGAGTGGTTTAGTCCAAATGTTCTGAAGAGACTCGATCGCTTTGCATGATGAACAGATTTAATTTAGGCTTTTATTCACATTGATCAGCAAACATAAACAGAAGCTCAACTGAACCCGACGCACGAGAAAAGTTGCAAGCAATTGAACTCAAACAAGCGGAATGACAGTTTAACCAGTGAACAGATTAAGACATGCCCGATTAAGAAACACTTCATTAGGAGAAAATCTAAATAAAGTGATGAAAAAAAAGATACACTTTATTTTACTTTTAAACCTGCTTGAAGCATCAAAGTGGTAGTTGTGTAGCCGTCAATGGAGGGACAGAAAACACTCTGATTTAATCAAAAAGTTCTTAATTTGTGTTCCGAAGATGAACAAAAGTCTTATGGGGTTGGAACGACATGAGGGCGAGTAATTAATGACAGACTGTTCATTTTTGGATGAACTACCCCTTTAACTGAAAGCAGCTTGCACTGACATATCTTAAAATAAGTCAGTGCCATTGTTTTGACACAAGGTGCACACCAGTAATGTTTTTTGAAAATGCTTGTTAAATATTGCACGAATACAGAAATTTATAGAAGTAACAAAGGTTCATAAAATGTGCACCATCACGTAAGACATATTAACATTTCGAGTGTGAGCTGCACATGGCATGGGTGGTGGTTTTGAAGACAATGCTGAAAAAATGTTAGACTGGTAGGCTTGTCTTAGCTGGTTTAAAGATGGTCTCCCAGCAGCCTGAACGGGGTGACAAGTGCCCAAAACCCCTCTAAACACAGCCTGATAGGCCAACTAAAACCAGCAAACCAGTTTAGGCTGGTTTGAGGTTGAGGTGTGTGTGTGTATCATGTGTGTGTGTTTTGGCAGAGAATAGCGCAGATACTCTTTAAAAGTATTTCCCAGTCATGTTTGTATTGTTTTGCGTTAGAAGAGTGAATATTTTCATTATTTGTATCGCCGCGAATCGACATTCAAACTGAGAAACAATTCGTTTTAAAAGTGCGTCAATTTTTACCGGGGCTTTTTTCCTCTTCCTCTCTGTCTGCACCGGCCGGCAAACCATCGAGACACACCTCCTAAACCCTCGAAAATATTCACTCCGACGTTTGCCGAACGACCAATCAGCTGCAGGTCTGCGATGGCCGCGTGCCTAAATAGAATGTTTATGTATGTCGAGAGCCAATCAGAATCAATGAGGGGAGTGGCCGAGCGAATCTCGCCTGGCTGCACGCGCAGGATAGAGTGGGCGTGGCGTCTAGTTCGGCGAGAGAGAAAAGCAAAACAATCATTTTTATCCCCTTTTACCGGCTGCTTTTAGGGTCCGTAGTGACATACACTCTCGACAGTGAGTCGTAGTCCACACAATACTGTTAAATGCATCTTATCCCACTCAGCACTAAAGTCTACAGAAAGCTGGTGATCTTGTGAAGTCACATTTGATCCAGGTTGAAAATGACTTCCAAACGGCTTCTCGAGCCTGTCACCGGGAAAGCGCTGCATGAAGGTGCTTTCAGGAATTTTGGCAAGGAAATCTCTCCAAATGGACATTACTATACCTCAACGAGAGAGATGCACTACATTCATAAGAAAGTAAGTGATGCTTACTCAAGTTTTGCATACGTAACGTTACACTTATTTGACAGTTTGTTGCATTTATAAACAAGTCGAAACGACTGTCGGCAATTATGATGGAGTTGTACGATGGCAGCTCTGCTTTTCGCAAGTTTGCATGGAAAAATGGCTTGTGAAGTAACTGCAATTTAATTTCATCGATGCAGTTATACTGTCGTCGATGTTAATATCGCGAGGCGTTAACTGTTTTTGCACGGTTTAAGATGGCGACTTAACTTGCATGTTCAAAGTTTAAACGAAAAAAAAAAAAAACCAGGGGGTTGTGTTGGTAAATTTAACTGATTCACCCCTCCCCCATAGTTTATCTAACGCGAGCTGAAGCCGGTGGAAGGGTTTGTTTTTTACAGGAACACTGTTTGGTTTTTCCTCTCAACGTCGCACGGTGACTTTCTAGGATATATAGTGATCGAAAAAACAAGCTTTTATATGCAAGTTACGTTGTGTTTTAGGAAAAGAAAGTTACTTTATTGTAGCAGTCATGGTTTATGCATTGCTTATGAATTATTGGATGAAGTAATGATATGCGTCGTTCAGTTCCTTCGAACGTATGAGCGTTCTCTTTAGAACGGCGTTTAATTTCGCTCTGTTCGGTGAAGTGTAGGAGTTCGAGACACGCCCCCTTCTATGATGACGCGTCATATAATGTATCTGCTCTGATGAACGTGCACTTGGCCGATATGAGCTGTGCAGGCAATGCAACTCTGCCTGTAATGCAACTAATTCACGACTACAATATCTTGTCATACTATCAACTGACAGGATGCTTCATAAATTCAGATTTAATCTTGGCCCTAGATTTTAGATAAAGCATATTCAATATTGAGGTTTTGTTGCTTTTGGTCAATGTTTTTCAGCTTTGAGGATAAATAAACTTTTAGCATAGATCAGTGATTCTCAACCTCTTTGACTCGACTTCCCGTTGTCCAACACAATATTCGGCGATATTCATTTTTTTATGAACACAAATTGGTAGTATTATTAAAGCTGCTGTCCGTAGCTTTTTTTGGGTTAAAAATTATCCAAAATACATATTTGATAAAATACATAACCAGCCAGTGTTCAAAACTATCTGCTTGCCTTAGCTCGATGCAAAACGGTAAGCTTGTAATAATGTTTTTAATTTTAGTGGTACTGGTGGATTTCCGCGGGAGATTCGAGCATGTCTTTGCGTCATTACGTCACATCTGTACACATAAAGAAGGAGTCTTGGCTAGTATAAGCTATATTACGTGTGAGGATGTTGGAGGTAGAGATTTATAGCCTTTTCTCACAGCACTTGATATAATTATTAAACTTATCAATATGATGGCGGATCCAGAAAGGTTCAAACGACGATCATCATCAGTGACAACTAGAGACTCACCCGCTGTAAAATGCAAAAGACTTCGTTCGGACTTCGGAGTGGCTACAGAAAAAAAGAGACTGCAACCGGACCCATGCGAAAACAAGGATAATATCGGAAGGACATTACATGATGTAGTCACGCAATGCTTGCTGACGTTGTTAACATTAACAATTAGAGAACATAGTATAGCTACTTTGCACGGTTTTGCGTGAAATGATAATTGTTGTTAAAGCAATTGTTAGATTTAATCAGCGCGATTTACTGCAATGTCAGAACCAGAACAAAAGTGAATGTTTCTTACTAGTTCAGATGACATTTCCCGGTGAAAATTCTTATGTTGGTCATACTTCCAAAAAGAATAATCTGTGATTCTGAATGACAATATCCACATCGGCGCGGTGACTGACAGCTGCACACTCTCCTCAAACATTGTGTTCATCCGCGCTGTGCCGTGTCGAGGGTGTTGAACTACAACCCACGTAAAGTTGATAATTCCGCGAATGACTGCAATTGCAGATTTCGAACAGAGATGGCGACAAAGAGGAAAAATGCCGGACTGCAGCTTTAAGCAATGAACTAAAAAAAAAAAGTCAAATATATTATCCAAAATCATTTTGTGATTCCAAAGGTTTCAAGATCTGTATGTTTATCAATATCAATAAACTTGATCTTAGTTTACATATTGATTTTATGTTTAGAGTGCAACAGTCATATTCCAGAAGTAAAAACCATATTTTAAGCATATTAATTTTTTTAGATCAGAGCTCGATTATTTAGATTTCAATAATAGTAACGGTTTAATTTAAATGTTTTTGAGTCATGTTGGAAGTAAAAAAAAAAAAAAAATCCAGGAAAATGGACCAAAATTATTGATGACTCATCTTGGACTGTCCACATTTTGGAATTGATATTTTCCTGGAAAGAGAATGTCTGTATTACCACCTGTTACTGACAATAGCAATAGCAAATCATGATTAACTTTTGGCATTTAAAAAAAAAGGGACAATCCCTTCAACATTTCCCGTTCCAACTTTCTGTTTCAAGAGATCAACCCAGAGAGAAAAAAATTCTTGTCAAGCCATCTTGTCTATAAGTCTGTAATATCCTAAACACCCATCCTAAATAAATATAAGGAAAAGTTATACTATGTGACTAAAACCGAATTGAATTCCTGTCTCAGTCTCTTTGGACCCATGTGCTATCTGGTAAAGCAGAAGTATATCTCTCTTTTCTTCTTCTTCTCAGTTTGCATGTGGCAGAGAAGAGGACGAACAGAGCTCAGGTGGGGTCCTTAAATACGGCTGTCCTGCTCATCACCTGATCCTGAGTGGCATCAGGCTACAAGACCAAACTCACATTGAGGCTCTGAGCCCACTGAGAGGCCCAGGACCTCTCCCTCCATCTCCCGAAACACCACACCCGCACACGTCCTCCATCATCCCCGTCCCACATGACAGGTCAGTTCTGATCCCATCACTACAGAGAGCATTGTGCAGATTGACACAGTTTGGTTGATGTAGTTATATTAATGCATATATTTTGAAATTATGAAATTCAATGTGTTTTGTATGCAAATACACCACTAGTCAAACGTTTTTACTTAAATGCCTCTCCTTTATGGCTCTGGTTCCAGAATGCATTATCATCGAAGTATATTTTGATGGACTGTGATAGGTTGAACTCTGTTAGAATTCTTTATTTTTCATTTGACTCTTATGATTTAAAAAAAAAAATTATGTAAGACCAGATCTAGTTTTAGAATTTGTATCCAAGATCTAAATTTAAAACCTATTTTAATCGTTCTTTTTTAATCTCTTTCTCCGCATGAATATTGCTGGGGTAGCTGGCATGGCGTTAAACTATAAACAAACAAACAAACAAACTTAAATGTTCTTAAATACGTTTTATAGATACATAATTGTGCATATGTATAACTGTTTTTATGAAACTAAAATACTTAATTAATATTATTCAAAAAAAGTATCAATTATATATTAATTAATGCATATATTATTAATAGATAAGTTGGACCAGATAGTGAAGGAATGTGAACTGTGAACTCCTTCCCAGAATGCACCTCATGAAGTTGATTTACTAAATATAATTTCACATTTTCTGGTCACTTCCTACTTTTTATGTTTTTTTTAATAGTTTTCGATTTTTTCCGATTATTCCAAAAATAATGGACAATTATTATAATAGAGTGCAACAGTCATGTTCCAGAGGTAAAAAACATATTTTACATTTCTTTATAAAGAAATTGATTACTTGAAAGATAACTTATAAATATTTAAAAATGGCAAGTTTGATAATAGATTTTGATAATTAGTATTTTGTGGAAGCCATCTGTTCGTATTTTTTCACAACTTTTTAATAATCTTGTTTAACAACTGAATTTGGGGTGAAAAACTACAGTATCCATGATGCTGTTCAAAAATTCCACCAATCAGACGGTCGCGGTGAGAAAATAGCATCAAAATAGCTTGCGGAGAATGCAGACTCCCATGAAGCATTGCAAATGACGTAAACGAATGTCTATATATATACACACACACACACATTCACACTCCAGGGCAATTTTTTTTTAAAATCTACCAAGGCAAAATATTTAATGGTCTTAATCATTTTAGTAACAAATGGTCAGGAAATTAGCAAGAATTGCACAAATTCTGTTGATAAAGTAGCTTAGCATGGATTAGCCTTCCCAACTTGCAGACAGCTTTACAGGAAGAAGAGTCAGTGTTGTTCCACTCAATGTTAACGGCTTCAAACAGTTCATGAGTAGTTGAAAAATGTCTCCCAGTTTCACTATTGGGTTCAAATCTGGATTCTGACCAGGCCAAAACATGAGCCTGATGGACTTGTTCTCAAGCCACTTCTGGGTTGTCTTTGCAATTTGGGCAGGAGCATTGTCTTGCTGGAAAATAACATCTGATCATTCCTCTTTAGATAACAGCTTTTCAATTGTAGGAAGCAAATCATTCTGCAATATTCTCTTGTGCTCCACAGCATGAAGTAGCTCAGTTACCAGCAGCTCCTCGTGCAATGACACAGTCTCTTCTTAGTCTCTTCCTTCATGTGGTAGAGATGCATTTATTATTATATTTCTCAGCAGATTTTCTCTGGAGCATCACCATGAAACTCGTGTTTCATTGATTCATCACTCCACACACAACTCTGCTAAACCACTCTGAATCAAACTTCCCATATTCTGCCAAAAACTTCTTTCTGTCTTGATAGTTTTCTGAGACAGCAATGGCTTTTCAAAGTCGTCATGAAATCGAAATTGACACTATTTTCTTTGTTAGCACACATTACTAGTCTTGTGGTGAACAATTAATCCGTGTAAGTTCATACACATTTGTCGTGGTAATCTTTAATCAAAATCTGAAAATTTGCTTCTGCTCTGGAATGGCGTTTCTACAGCTGACGGCTTGGGTTGAATATCCTCAACCAATCCCCTACAAAAATAAAAATCCGCTAAAATAAAATCCAGCCCTCTATTCAAAATCCCCTTTCACTTGGAAATACGTCACAACACGGAAGTAAAGTTGGTTGTAACTTGGGGACTTTAAGTAGTGCATTTGGTTAAAGGGATAGTTCACCCCAAAAATGAAAATTCTGCCAGTAATTACTCGCCCTCATGTCGTTCCAACCCCGTAAGACTTTCGTTCATCTTCGGGACACAAATTAAGATATTTTTGATTCAATCTGAGAGCTGGATCACTCCTCCATAGGCTTCTTAAGGGATCGAAACTGGCCGGCCCAAAAGTTATTAAAGACATCGTTAAAATAGTCCGAGTGACTACAGTGGCTCAACCTTAAGTTTATCAAGCGACGAGAATACTTTTTGTGCGCAAAAAACAAACAAAAATAACGACTTTATTCAACTATTCATTTCCTTCTCTGTGGGCCGTGAGATTTCACGTAGTGAAACTGCACAAAGCTTCTGTGTTGCACGTAGGCTCACTATTAGCCGACGCTGGTCATGTGTGTGATGCGTGACGTGCAACCTAGAAGTTTTGCGCAATATCACTACGTGAAATCTCACGTGAAACAGGGAAGGATTAGTTGAATAAAGTCGTTACTTTTGTTTGTTTTTTTGCGCACAAAAAGTATTCTCGTCGCTTGATAAACTTAAGGTTGAGCCACTGTAGTCACTCGGACTATTTTAACGATGTCTTTAATAACTTTTCGGCCGGTCAGTTTCGATCCGTTAAGAAGCCTATGGAGGAGTGATCCAGCTCTCAGATTTAATCAAAAATATCTTAATTTGTGTCCCGAAGATGAACGAAAGTCTTACGGGGTTGGAACGACATGAGGGTGAGTAATTACTGGCAGAATTTTCATTTTGGGTGAACTATCCCTTCAAATTTAGCTAATTTCCTGACCAATAATTTGTGGTAAAGACATTAAAAAGCACATAAAAAATGTGTAATACTGTGATTCACCGTTGGTTTAGTTAATCTCTTATAATGCTTTTTAAATATCTCTATAGGAAAAAATTTATAGAAAAATTACTTTCCATCCAACGCTGCTGAAAAAGTGGGCGGACACTAACACACTATTTACAAAATGAGTGAGTGTGTCCAAAATGTTCAATGGTTGTGTGTGTGGTTTGTTATAGTTGTTATTCAGATGCAATAGAGCAAGTTAAGCTGTGTTTGACATCAAGCAAACTAGGCCTAAGTGAAACAAGATTGGTTTAACTTTTATTGGCCCAGTCTGTTTAAAAGTAAAATAAAGTGTATCTTTTTATTTTCTCCTAATGGAGTGTTTCTTAATCCGACATGTTTTAATCTGTTCACTGGTTAAACTGTCATTCCGCTTGTTTGCGTTCAGTTGTTTACGAGCCTTTATTGTGAACTGGATTAAAGGGATAGTTCACCCATAAATGAGAATTCTGTCATCATTTACTCGCCCTCAAGTTGTTCCAACCCTGCATGAGTTTCTTTCTTCTGCTGAACACAAAGGAAGATATTTTGAAGAATGTTGGAAAACAGACAGTTAATGGTAGCCTATTGACTTCCATGGTAGGAAAAACATCTTGAGGGTGGGTAAATGATGACAAAATGTTCATTTCGGGTGTCTTTTTACCCACTACCATGACCCTCAGCTCAGCATACCAGAGGCTGAGTGTAATGCGATGACACTGGATGGTTGGTGTGGAGGAGACAGACGGGCCGCTTGGTCAGCGTTCAGTCAGTGTTTATTCAACCTTCATTTTTGGCGTGTTTATAAGGAATGCCTGTTCAAATCCTGTCTTTGTTTCGTTTTCCCCCCGCTGTTTATTTGTTGTTTTCTTTTCCGTTCTTTCGAACTCTCATTCGTTCATTCTCATCATTTTTTTGTTTCTTAGATCATAATGTGAATAGTTTAACCAAAAATAAAACATTCTGTCATCATTTACTCATCCTCATGTGAGTAAAAAAAGAAAAGTGTTAAAGATACAATATGTAAGTTTTTTCGCCACAAGAGGGCACAGTTTCCAACAATAACAAAGGCGTATGTGTATGACGCAGTGAACAGCTGAATGATGGGACTTGCTGTCAAGCTGATGGATATAATAATGTTTATGGATGAGTGCAAACCTTCATGTTTTTTAACATTACAGTGTTATGAAGCAGGTCGCGATTGCGAAAGAGACAGATATCGTCTCTTTAGCAATCGCGACCTGCTTCATAACACTGTAAGTGATACTATCCGCGGGACTTACACGCGAGTCCCGCGAATAGAAAGGAATAAGGACATTTAGAGCTGGATTACACACACAGGTCAGTTTATTAGACGAATTAAACTTGTGAGGTAATGCAGCGCTGCTTCACTTGGTCTAATGTAACACTATCACACTAAACTGCATTTAAATGTGTGTTGAAAGTTATAACGTTATTCTACGTGTTAGTTCGTTTGCTATACGAAACTAGCAAGGTAAGCTAGATCAACATTAGAATAACATACTGACCATATTCTAACATTTCATCATGTTGAGCTAACGTTATAACATTGATTTGTTGTATGTAGTACATTTGCTCACCTGTCTAATAAAGCTGTCAAGTCGTGACTCGTGAAGCTCTGTCAAGTCCAAGTTAGTCGCGGACGTGGAGCTCTAGGCATCTCAAAAACGCCACGCTGATATTGATCCTCATTTTAGTTCTCCTTGTTTGTCCCAAAGTCTGCTTGCCATGGTCTATGTTTGAACGAAACAAGAACTGCGTGCCGCTAAACGTTACGCACTACCAGTTGTCCACGTCTGTCGCCATGGTTACGTCATGGCCATGGCAGTGCGAGCGGAAACCGAGGTTAAGGCGGATATTGCGTCATTGACAGGCGACATTTGTTGGCCGGGACGGCCACTTATTTAAAATTGGAATTTCTCTGAAATAAAAAATCTTTGGAGACTTTTGGGATATTGTAAGTACACAACTGCAGGAAATATATCACACTGTGCAAGTGATTT